GAAATTTAACTTTATTTGATACTCTTCATACAGAGCATTTACTGACATGATCAATTCAATCAGGTTTAATGGACTGCTTTAATCAGAAAAGCATCAGCTGCAGTCTAAATCCAATTTAATTTCTCACCCCATTTGCCCTCACTACCAATGACTCATAAACAGTCATTCCTGACAGCCTTTGGCTCAACTGCAACAGTGCAGAAGAATGAAACAGAAGCTTCTGTAACATCAGAAAAACAATGGGATGTTCATGTTCATTTCTATTTGTAATGTGATCAAAGGACACTAGCTGTATTAAATTTGAATGCATGAGAACACCTTTCTGTAAGTTCCACCTTTTCCATCCACAAACACACTTGGCTGTATATCTAAACATTTGAATACCCTCTGAATTTTGCATCTGCAATTGGCGACCAAATATATTTTAGAGATTTCAGAAGTACAAAAATGAAACGTTAAATGATGGCAAAAAAGATTGATTGGTTTCACTTTAGTATTTGTGCATCATTGTATCCTTTGTGCCACTTTGTAATTTTCTTCTCCCTCCCACCTATCTGCTCCAGCTCAAATTATGATACTTTGTAAAGGATTATGCAGTATTTTGCCTGTTTCAGTGGGTTGTTAGCAAATGTGTAGGTGTGGACCCAATAAAACTAGATTTAACAATGTACACATTGAGCCTGGATCATGGATATCAGGCTCCCGTCATCCTGATTCATTGAACACAGATATTCCTCTTCCATACAATGGAAGCGTGCATGACAATTTCATTTCTGCTTTCCCTCTAAGTGCTGATCCAACAACATGTATCCCTGTGTACAAATGCTTTGTTGTCATAAATGTCAAACCAAGACAACATACTGCCCTCACATCTCACATAATATCCTGACACTGGAGGGAACTGCAACCCTCAAAAAAGCAGGCATGTTTGGGTCAAGTGGGCATTTAGTTTTGACAATTTGAGTCTCGACCACATTTCAAGTTTTAGCAAAGGTCGGATATAGAGGAGGACCAACAACCTGTTCCCCCGAAGTGGGTTAGCAACTGGAATAATTATCATGAGGCTGCATGTCTCATTTCATTATAATTCCAAGCAACCATATCTCCCAAGTTTCAAGAAAACTTGCAGCTGCTAAGAGGTAATGGCTACTGGATCCAGGAGGTAATTGCCTGCTCATCTGCATGCTCGATCCAAAGTAGGTGCCTTTCCAACAACCCTCACAACCCTCTCCTTGGGGATAGTAGGAACTGCAGATGCTGGAGAATCCGAGACAACAAGGTGCAGGGCTGGATGAACACAGCAGGCCAAGCAGCATCATAGGAGCAGAGAGGCTGACGTTTCGGGCCTACACCCTTCATCAGAAAAGGGGGAGGGGAAGGGGGTTTTGAAATAAATAGGGAGAGAGTGGGAGGCGGATAGAAGAGGGATAGAGGAGAGGATAGGTGGAGAGGAAACAAACAGGTCGAAGAGGCGGGGATGGGGCCAGGAAAGGTGAGTGTAGGTAGGGAGTTAGGAAGGGGATAGGTCAGTCCAGGGAGGACGGACAGGTCAAGGGGGCGGGATGAGGTTGGTCGGTAGGAGATGGAGGTACGGCTTGAGGTGGGAGGAGGGGATAGGTGGGAGGAAGAACAGGTTAGGGGGGCAGGGACGAGTTGGACTGGTTTTGGGATGCGGTGGGGGGAGGGGAGATTTTGAAACTTGTGAAATCCACATTGATACCATTGGGCTGCAGGGTTCCCAAGCGGAATACACCATTTCTAGTCCTTCTGATCTCCCTTCAATCCTGTCCAACCCCATGAGGTCTCTGAGTTCTTGCCTCGCACCTATCCCCTACATCCCGCTCCTGTGGAATCTGAGTCAGCCTCACAAGATATCCAATGCTCCCCTCACCCTGAAATTCTGATCCCCTTTTCTTTGCAATTGGCAAGAACATAAATAAATTACAGACTTCATAAATGCTAGGTTTCAGACTGAATTCCATTTCTTAACCATTTGCTTGTATTGATCTTTTCCCACGCGAAAAACTAGTATTTGATAGTAGATGAAATAATAATCTCTATGCAATGCAAATACACACAATCCCTCATCCAGATTTGTTTTTCCTCAAAGAATATAAGAAGCTAATAAATATCAAACATCGTGTCAAGAATAATTGAAGTAGAGAATTAATTTGAGATCTTACAATTGGAGCTGTAAACCAACACAGCCTAATTGTATTAAAAAAGGAGAAGAGGAGGACAGCTTTGGTTAGGTCTTATCGTATCAGACAGCAGTAATCAATCCTGTTATACTCAAATATTGGGAGACTTAGTGAGGCTGTTAACTCAGATGGAGTTACATTGTCTTCTCTTAAGCAGAGGCCCTTTAGATTTTGTGCAAATGCATTGTATTTTCTTGCTGTTATCAGCTGGCACCTTTGTGACTACTGTGTAAACTATTTCCACATATCCTAAGAAACCATACTAATAAATCGAGCAATGTGATTTTTCACCATCTTCATCAAAATACATCACTTTTAAGTGGAAAACGGCTGGTGGGCAGATGTACATCTGATAAATGTTCAACATTTAGAATTACACTTTGTTGGTAACACTGAGCTGAAAATGCATCAGCAGGCAGAAGTAGTGGTGTACTTAGCTCCTGTTCAGAGGCCAGAGCAGCCCATCCACCTCAGTCTGGTGAATTGATAAGCTGTTGTCCAGACTTGGTATATGGAGCTTCTAATGGAAATGCAACATTCTATTAAAAGAGGAAAACAACAATTAACCACTGGTAAGAAGCATTAACTCGTCTGTAGGGCAGTCAAAGCCAGCTTCTTAACTAGAGGAGGTGATACTCTGGAGAGTTGTTTGTGAGGAAAAGAAAAAGAGATAGAATAGCATGGTGATAAGTTGCACAGATAACACTGTCTCCTGGAAAAGCTCAGAGGGCAAGTAGAAGCTCTATCCTTATTTTTATATCTGCTTCAGATATGAGGTACTTTTCCGAGATCTTAAAGATTGAACTTTGGGTGTGCTGGAATCTTACCTGACTTTCCGTCTTGTTCTTGACCTTTAGAGATAAATCCTATAGAGTACATCTGTATTAGCTTATGTGGCTGACTCCTGCTACTATTTCTACTCTTTGGCCTTATCCTCACCCTGTCAGCTCATTTCCTTTCATGGTAGTTAAAAGCTCACTAATTCTGGCAGAAAAAAAACATATACATAGTATTGTGGATTACAAGCAAAACCTCTGATAAGCAATGTTACAGCTTAAGGTGAAGAAATGAAAATAAAACAAAATGCTGAAAATACTCAGCAGGTTAGGCAGCACTCAGGAATAGAGAAACAAAGCTAAGGTTTCAAGTCAGGAAGTGATCATTATAACACATACTAAAGTTATTCATCTCTATGTAAAGAAATCATGCGAATGATTGTGGGATGCATGGATGTCTGCTTTCATGTCCATCATATTATAACAACATTTCATAATTATGGCAAATATTAAATAATAGATAAAATCTAAGAACTAAATAGCATTGACTGGAACAAATACATTTTTTGTAACTTTTTTCTGAGCTAAAGGAGTTATCTAAACAATAGATTGAAAGACATCCAAGGTAACCCACCTGTGAATAAACTACTAACAGTGGTTTCAGTAAACAGCCAAAGTCTTTATTACACGCTTGGGCTAGAATCTCAATGAAAAACTAAGTCAATCGCTACTAAAACGTTCACAAGTACCTGCTCCAGGCATCAATTTTGGCTCAGTAGGGTTTGTAACTTATAACAGCAAACTATCACCATTCTAACATAATCTCTTCACTGACAGAGATCTACAGCTAGGTTAGAAAGATATCATATTTGGTTGATGACTTTGAACTATTGAGAACGGTGATTGCTTTTTATAACAAATCTTCACACCTGTGTGCGAGGACATGAATAAAGAAAGTGCAAAATTCTTCATTTGAATGAAAGTATTCAGTCAAAGTAAATTCTTGTGAATATGAGTACCTTCATAACACTCCTTTCTAATCTCCAATACCGGAGGTGTAGGTGGGAGTGAATCAAGTTTAAAAAACAAGTTCCAAATTAATACATTTGTCTTTACAAAAAATCCTTCTAATGTTAAGGAAAGATGCAATGAGACTATAAATCATTATTTCTATTCTATATGCTTATGACATTTCAAGTAAGATACAAGATAGGTGGGTGGATTCCTTACTTCTTTTCCTGACCTTGATAATCTAATATCTCTCCAAGGATAGGGGGACGAAACATCCAATCATCACGTCAATGTACAGAAACACTGGCCAGCCATTGGTCCCAACTGACCTCAGACATTGGCTTTGAAACCTCCAGAATGTTTTGATTGAGACATTTTCCAACAGGATCACAAATGGTATGAGCCAAAAGGCTATCTTGTCTACTGAGCCTCACTGCAAAACTCCCGGGCCAAATTACACACAAGCAATATCACTAGAAACCAGTTAGTGCCTTATAATATTGGGGATAGAACAGATGGTATCATTATTGATACAGCAAGGAACAGCTGTGATGCACAGCAAGTAGTATCATAGTGTGACTCATAGGGTTTATAAATGCAATAGTACATGATTTGTATGTACAAAACATCAAATTTATACTCCACTGAAAATATGTTGGCAAATATAAAATAACAGTGGAGATTTTCAATAGACTGCCCTGGATTAACCCTTCTTAATGTACAAGTACTTAATTTTCACAGCCCAAGAGAGTAATAAATCAAATATTGATTGCTGTTAAAGAAAACAAGGTTAACACCATGCCCTTTAGTGTAAGAGCTCTGGATGTTGTAATTTATGAATGGTCCTCCTTGTGTTTCAAGAGCAATGCAATTGCTTCATTCCACCAACAGCAATCAGTATTTATCAAAATACATCTTCGGTATGTTAATATTCTATGATAAAAGTCCTCCTAAAAGATGTTTCTTACTAGACTAATAGTAATGACTATAATCGTGACTAATCCATACTGACCTTGAATGGGGTTTGGAATAGTTGGCAGAATACTTTCTATGGAAGGAAATGATAAAAGTAAAAATGGAAAAAGGACATTTATAATTATATCATGCTGTCAAAATATAACATTGACACAAATGAACACTGAGGGCCTAAAATCATAGAATGATTTGAATTTAGTAATTTAAGACTTATTGTACTGAAGTCCCCTTGCTCCAGTTGCTAGTATTTTGCTGCCTTATCATCCAAACTGGCACAAAGCAAACATGACAACAAAAATACTGGTGTCACTTCTGTTGGAGTTAAGTGCCAAAATCACTTTTGGTATGCCATACAGAATACATAGCCTCTGTGCAATGGAGATATTAAATGTCTGTCCATGTAGTTTAATTTTTTAAGTTGCCATTTTCCTTTAAATTTAAAATATCTTCACGGAGGGAAAGTTAGACTACAAATTGGTGATGTTGAGCTTTGGCTCAGAAAGAGTCAAGAAAAACATTAATCAGAATAAAAACTTAAAACAAATGATATGATGCCATAGGCGCTAATTTATGAACAGTTTATGTTGCACCTCACTCTCCAAAGAAGCCAAAAACAAAATGAAGTCTTCCTTCAATTAATTATAAAGACGGGTTTATTTTGTGCTTTGTCAGTGAACTACACTTATACCTCAGTCTGCCACCTAATACAGCTTTAAACATCATAAAAAATACAAATCAGGCCCAGTGTTTTTTTGGACCATAAGTCAGACTATTAGGCCCCATTTTTTTTGCACTGTAAATTAGACTACTGATACCATAAACATATGAAATCTCTTGTTGTTGTCTCATACATGATGTCAAATATTATGTAAATGTCTGTATCAATCACAGCTTTGTTTCTAACTGCTAAAAATTCAACCATATTTCCAACTCAACCAGTTGGCTAAGATAGTCTGCAATGAAGCCTTGAACCATTTGCAAAGTAATCAATTCCCATTTCGGAAAATAGAAAATGCAACATCGTGTTTCCAGCAATCATATTGCTGCTGCAAAATGGATCTAAGTATTTAAGCTTTCTGAAAAGCCCCTCAGAAATCCAACTGATTTGTGAAGTGTTAGAGATTGCCTTGCACACAAGAGTTTAGGTATTTTAATATGAAAGTCACCATAATCTTACTAGACCACAGAGAGAGAGAACTGGAGGGTCAATGCCTCAGGCAAGGAGAATAGTTGAGAAGGGGAGTCCTTCATGGTAACCTCAGCAGCAATTGAACCCTCACTGTTGGCATCACTCTGCATCGTAAACCAGCCATCCATCCAACAGAGCTAACTGATTCCATGTTACTATTTTAATATTACATTGATAGTTTATACCCATTGAAGTTACTTGTTCAGCACCTTGATGATGCCACTTAGTTCCCTTTTAGAAGCAAAAATTCTTTAAACTGTACAGAAGTCTGACCAGGACTAACACCACTTAATACATCAACACATTGCAGAATGCCCAATAATGGAACAATCAGCTATTAATTCAACTTAACAGACAGTTAATATTTTAATATTATATTAAGTTATAAATGACAGTGAAGTCATGAGCACTGGCTGAATACAAAGTCAGCATATTCATTCCTTACATGGGTAGCACTTGCCCTCCTTCATGGAATTCAGGGTCATCATTATGAACAGTCTGCAAACAGGGAAGATGACCGCCAAGAGGATTCTCATGTGCTGCGTGTACGTTCTACATTAGTGCTACATATGGAATTGAGTACACTGGAAAGGATTTTCATACTGATGTGATTAAGCAACATACAGACACAATTTTTTTTAATATAAAATGGAATACCCTGGCAATACCATTATCCTGAAATATCAATAATACTTAAAGAAAAACCTGAAAGGTAATGTACAGTTAATTGCTAATTATCATTAATACTTGGCATTGAGTGATTTCAGTTAACACCACTGATAAACTCTTCCATTTCACCAAAGCTTCTAATGATAAATCAAAAGAGCCATTCCACAGTTTAATTGTCTTAATGATAGAGAGATTTTCACTGGAGAAGTTATCTGGTATAAATGAATATTTTTGCTAAGCAAATTGAAATTGAGACTTCAAATATATTTTCTCTCATCAGCATTCTTTTTCGATGAATCATTACAGCTCTAACTTCCACTTAAGTGCAGATAATTTCATCCAAAATACACATTACAATGTGTTGACAGTCAAAACGATGCATACAAATACATTATGTGCATTTGTTGCACAACCTTAATTATTTGTACTGGTTGGTAGAAAGTTAAATGCAATGATAGATTTGGGTAACACTTACATGACAATTAAAAGTACACAAAATATCTCCTTGAAACCTAATTATTAAAAAAACAAACTGTGTTTGTTCTGTTAGGCAAATTGTGATGGGATCCTGATAGAAACTATTATTGGCTTCTTTGCATGCAGAGGAAAAAGCAACGAGGGTTATACTCCCTGACTTATGTCTAGATAAGAAGACCACCACAGAATAATAAAACATAACCCCTTACGGATGGCCCTCTGGTAGAAAGTGAGTTTGTATGGATGCCTGGTGAATGAAGTATCAAGCTTAGTTGTAATGCCCCAACAGCTAAATAACTGCAACCATTCACTCTCTGAGGTCTCATTGAAGAACAGACATTGGGTAAGGTAAAGGAGGAGAACCAATGCCAATTGTCTTGAATCTCAATGTACATGTGCATCTGAAGGAGAAGAGATGTGAAATTATGTGTTCTACATATAATTTATAGCTTTAATGTGCAGTGACTGCTGTTATGCAATTAAACATAAGTCTGATGTGCAAAGCAAGGTCTTAAATGGTATTTGATCAATTGGCAGAGTTAATTGAGGAAAGAAAGTTGGCCAGGATACCAGGAGAACACCAGCTGTTTTTAGGATCGTGAACTGGGACATTTTAATGCACATTGCTCAGTCCTTTGAGTATAGGAGTTGGGGCATTACATAATGGTTGTACAAGACATTGGAGAGGCCTCTTTTGGAATAAGTTATAGGGAGGAATTTGTCAAGCTGGAGAGGGTTCAGAAGAGATTTACCAGATGTTGCCGGGTATGAAAGGTTTAAGTTATAAGGAAAGGTTGGATAGGCTGGGACTTCTTTCACTGCAGCATAGGAGATTGAGAGATGACGTGATAGAAGTTTATAAAATAACGAGAGGTATAGATAGAGTTGATGGTAGTTGTCTTTTCCCTAATATGGGGAATTTCAAGACTAGGTGTCATATTTTTAAGGTGAGAGGAGAGATTTTAAAAAAAGACATGAAATAAATTTTTTACACAGAAGGTGGTTTGCGTGTGGAATGAATTTCATAATGAAGTGGTAGATGGGGGTACAGTTACAATATTTCAAAGATATGTGGATGGATACATGAATAAGAAAGGTTTGGATAAATATGGGCCAGGAGCAGGCAGGTGGGACTACTTTAGTTTGGGATTATGCTCGGCATGGACTGGTTGGACTGAGGAGTCTGTTTCCATGTTATATGACTCTATGAATCTTTAACAGAATTGGTCACTGGAATTTTACATTAACAGTCAATTTCAAATAGACCAATGGAACATTCATGCTCTCTTACTCTTATGATCCAAGCTAAATTGGGTGTCTATGTGTTGGATTTGGGTTGAACCCAAAATCTACTGAGAAACTCAGAGGAAAGAGTGCTATCAACTGAGGAAAGCTGCCATTTCAATTACTTACTTAACCATTCACAGTAATGTAAGAAAATTTTGTGACAAATAAACTTATTCACTCATTCAGATTTAATTAATCTGTTGTGCAATTTAAAGGTTAATCACTAGTACATTTTCATTAAAATGGCCTTTGAGCATTGTTGAAATGTAACTTGAGAAGTGATTGTTTTTTTTAATTCACTCATGGGTTACAGGTGTTGCTAGCTAGGCCTGCATTTATTACTTATCCCTAGCTGCCCTTGAGATGATTTTGAGAGCTGCCTTCTTGAACCACTGCAAATCAAAGAAAGGTATAGTAACAGTGGAATGACTTTGATTCACATCCTTATACTGAAAGAACAATAACGGCAGTGTATACAATGCCCCAGTGGTTCAACAGTTCAGCCCTCAGAGACAGCTCTCTATGTGAAGTATGTGTGTATATGTGCAATAGTGGTGGTTGTGTTGGGAAGATGGGGGAAAGGACAACACAGCAGGAATAACACATTACAATCTTCCTTAAGTCAGCACTGAAGAATCAGACAAACTAACATTCTTTGATTGCAGCACAGAAGAAGGTTTTAAAATCCGATGGATTCCATACAGTTATCTAACATGTATGATTCATTGAGAAATCTAGGACAACATGGTAAGATGAAATCAAACATCAACAGCCATTTTCTGATCCTTGAAATTATAATATTTTGTACCCAACTGGCATCAGCTAATCATATTTTCATTAACATTGATGCACAACTAAGGATATATGTTTTAATCCGTGTCCATGACTAAAGTTCAATGTTTCGACTTTGAATCTCGAGCACTGTAGATTTTCCAGTTTCTAATTTTCAGCTCCCTTGATTGGAAAGAATCAGCAGTCTAGCATGCAAGCTGTCACAAACTGCAAACATGAACAAAATCCAAAACTGCCATTCAATGAAAGAAACATTTTCATAACTTCTACATTTAATGAGTAAAGCCAATGGTTTGCATCTGTTTTGTTTGATCTTGGCTTTTATAGGCACATCAAGTAATAATTGAGCTAAAGCTGATTACAACTGGCTATTAGCTCCCAAAAATCTCAAGCATCGGCAATTTTTTTTTCCTTTACAGCTCTGCCTGAAGGTGCGGTATTAGAACAGTGTAGAATATATTTCATGAGCTGTCAAAGTCAAAACATTTCTCAGAAGTTATGAGAGAACATACGTCATGATTTTTTTAGCCTCCATTTTCAACAGCTAACATAAATATAAATCACTTATATAATTCTCAACTTCAATTATCCTGGAGCACTCTGCAGAATTGGTAAATCTGCGCAGTTTCAATGCCACTTTCAATACTTGTGGAAGTTCC